AAAATCAAACAAAAATGTTTAGCTTGATCACTGGAACCCTGGAATTAGCTCTGATGTGATGATCGGGCTTACTACCTATTGTAGTGTGATCTCAAACCGAGGTATGTTGCTTAAGGTACCACTTACCTGTGATTATATGCCCTACTATTCTAAGCATATAGAATGGAAGAATGGTTAGTTTTTGCGACAAGATTTCTTGATTAACTCAATTTATTTTAACACTATGAAAATCTATTTACTGATTAAAATTTGAAGGAAAGTATACAGCTCAAACAATTTTTTGGTTTACAAAATTATCCACAATCAGAGGATATTTTCTAGTATTTATGCTTTTCCGTAATTTATGATCCGTATTTATTGGATTATTGCAAAAGTTAAACTCAGATCCTATTGTAGAAGATTCAATTTCAATTTGGTTGAGCAGCACTTACAGCTTTTAGAACAAGTCAATATATCAGGTGAAATATAGCCCATATCCCATCAGTTCAAAGCGCTTAGTGAATAGAGTGGAGTATATTATCTCGGAGATATATGTACATGATTAGCTGTCACAGCTTGTGATAGTAAAAAGGCAATACGTTAGCTTTACCGTTGGGGCGCTTCCATGGTGTGGGCAGCTGGGAAGTGACTTCCATCCTTATACCCGTAACAGTACACGAGACCGAATTGGTCACAATCAAATCCTTCCTACACCTCCTAATATCCTGGCATGGCGACCTGAACAGATGTACTTGCGTACGAAGTTCTACATTGTAACGGACTGACTTTACCGGTGGGGATAGTATTTCAACATAACTAGGCAATGTGTGAAGGGTAATCTGAAACCAGATGGAAATTGGTAATTTTCTTTGCTTATTTTGATATCATTAAATAATATTCACTCTAGAACACTGCTAAAATAAACCAGGACTGGATTGGTCAGCTTTGGTTTTCTTCCAGCCAACCCACACAAGCAAAACATGCCCCAAACACCTCACTTGGTACTTACTTCTTTGTCACCTAGTTTGCTTTATTTACTGAACATCGTACCCCTAACGTTGCTAATGTTTAATTGGCCCCAAAATATATAAGTAATACATTAAAGACACTGACCGAATACTAGTAACCTGTGAATATTCTCTGCTGTTAATAGCCATGTTTCATACCTATGAATAGGACGCCGACCGTAGCTGATACTTTAACGTGGTCAGGCTTGCCTATCGTGATGACCCAACCGAACTAATTTTGGCTGAAACACATGTTTCTTTAGGTATAACCGTGCCAGGCAGGTCGATTAGGGAACGGTAAGAGTAAAACCAGCAACTCAAGGTCTGAGGGCGAAGTCGTACTGTTGACTTTAGAAGGATGTGACAGCATTAACGTGTTTTCTTCGGACAGGCAGCATCTACAGAGATACTGCCTCCTCACAACGGAAGGAATGTGTCAGAAAAGGTCAACCCTAAGAACATCACACCTCACCAACCATGCAGATTCCCATTTCCGGTAGTAAGAGCTTTTGAAGAGTAAAGCTAGTACCTCAAGAACTCTCCATAAAGAGGTGTGCATGACCGGTCCCAAGCAGTTGTCCCTTGTGCTCTGCGGCCATACTCCCGGGTCGGTAAGACCAACGCTAACATAACCTCCTCTTCAGGTCCCTCAAGAAAAACCATTCAACGATGTGGGCAGCCGGGAAGTGATATTCGTCCTTATACCCTTAACAGTTCAAGAAACCAACTTGTTTGTGACCAAACCCTTCCCTATTTTTTAACAACTCTCTTATTTGCATGATCAATCCTTCTCGCATACCTTTGCCAGCTGGGGTGGTTGGAACATGTGATACATATGCCCAGCCACGGACTGCCTCGATTAGCACTGTTGCCCGACGTAGTAGGCTGCAAGAAAGCTAGGGGCGACCAAACCAAAGTACAGAATATATCCATGAAGTCATTGACAACTGAACTGAGCCATGTTAGTAGTTACAGACTACCTAGTTGGGGTCCGCGAGACAATTGTAATCGGCAGTCAGAGACTTTGAATGAATGCAAATGCAGTGGCGCAGATGCATCCACTCTGTCTTCTCTTAAATCTTAATCAACTGGATTCCTCATGACCATTTTTTCTCTTTTTAAGTTATTTCAGTGGATTATACTTCTTGAAAAGTATCTTCGAACCCTAATACTCTTCATTACTATTAATACTTCTATTGCCTCTAGTACTATGAGATTCGAATTGATAACTCGATCTTTGTGCTAATGTGGTATGGCAACTTGGATTGATTTACGTTGTTGGCGACTGACATACTCGGTTAAAGGTACTCAGTTAATAATGGCTGAACTCTGGTAACCACCTACAACTGTAACTACATCTCACAAAACACAAAGAAGTGATTGGTAGAATACTCCATTTCTTTAGTCAGTCACCTAAAAATAACATATAGCATGGTATCGGTGTTCGGATTTACTTTGCCAATCCTTATATCAGAACAGTGAGAAAGTGATAAACAAGGATATCAGAGAAGAGGAAATAATTAAATCCACTTTTTCCAAAAACCTAATATTAATTTAGAGAGCAGAAGTGAAAAGTGTAAGATGAAACCAATAAAAACAGTCGGATGTAAAATAAATGGAACTGTCAGTCTGTGAGTTACAACGTAGAACTTCTTACGGGCGTACGTCAGTTTAGGTTGCCACATCGAATCAGCACAGAGACACAACTGTCAATTCAAATCCCATAGTGGGAGAGATAGTAGAAGTATTAGAGGTTACGGAGAAGATTAGAGTTCGAAGATATAATGCAAGAAGTATAATTCAGTGAGAGAGCTTTAGAAAGAGAGAGATGATGAGGAATTCAGGTTAGGATTTAAGAGAACACAAGTAGTGGATGCACCTGCGCAATCCCAAACGATTTTGAGCCATGTCGTTCAAGGTCTTTAACCATCGATGATTTTCGTCTCGCTGACCCCAACCAGGTAGTCTGCATCTACCGACATGACTCAGTCAACTTGTCAGTGACGTCATGCACTTGCGCCATGTTTTGGTCTGGTCGCCCCTAGCTTCCTTCCAACCTACTCCTACACCACAAGACATCGCTCGTTGAGGCAGTCAGTAACTGGGCATACACAACACATGTCCCAACCACATCAACTGATGAAGTTTCATTACTTCAGCTATTGATTTGCCATCCCTACCTAGCACCCGTTTCCTAACAACAGCATTGCTTACTCGGTGGTCCCAGGATACATGAGCAATGCTTCCAAGACACCTATAATTGAATACTAATATCCTACGACTATTTTCAACTCTGACCGACCATGTTTCACAACCATAAAGTAGCACGGAGCGAACTGCTGAGCAGCAAACTCGTCCTTAGGTTAGCAGACGGATATCTCGCCTACGCTATACGTGATGCAAGTTGGCAAAAGCCAATCGAGTCTTCTGTATCCGAGCTGAGATTTTGTCAGTCACCAGGCCATCAGCACTGATGAGACTCCCCAAATAAGTGAAGCGGTTAATACGCTCAGCTGCTTCTCTCCTTATCACTAGTTTAGGTACCGATGGAACCCAATCTTGAAGCAACATTTTGCATTTCGACAGAGAGAATCGCATCCGGAACATGATTGAATTGTTGCTTAGGGTCGTCAGGTGACTCAGCATTTTATCAGCGTCTTCACTAAGTAGAACTTGTCATCAGCAGATTCTAAGTCAATAAGCTAGTCTCCTGGTAAAAGGTCTAATCCTGAAGAGCCAGACGAGGATAATGGTAACTCTAAAAGCATGTCTACGACAAAGTTAAACAGGAATTGAAAGAGTGAATACCCCTGACGGACAAATCTTGAAATAAAGAATTCCGATGACAGTTCGCCATAAACTCTCACCCGACCAGTGCCGTCCGAGTACAGAGCTTGTATAAGGTTACTTCTTTGGTACACCTTTTAATGACAACACTGCCACAGGACCTCATGATCAACAGAGTCGAATGCCGCCTTAAGGTCGAGAAATACTACTATTATGGGGTGTCTGAACGTATCTTTGTTCTAGGACCCGACATAATGTGAATATCTGGTTTATACATCCACTGCAACAAATTTTGGTGTGTAATCAAGCATTAATTCAACCAACTCGAAGTATGTGATGACGATATACGGCCATTTCAGTCAATGTAGTATTTGTAACGAAATTCTTCCTACAAGAAATCCATTAAACTCATATTTCGTGTGCGTCTTGTGCTATTGAAATGAGCTTTTCATGGTTGACGGGACGAAGTATTTGCCACTTGTTACAACAACCAATCCAAAAACACTGAGCATACAAAACTAAAATTGTGCTTTAAAACACTCATGAGGTGCAGGTACAGGTAGTTGAATGACCATTCAACCAGTTTTTTTAGCAGTTAAGCTGTACTACTAGCTTACATAAAGTTGTCGCCTGAATTTACCATGTAGGCTTCAACTAAGATCACAAACTGAGGACAAGACACTGGTTCTATATATTAACAGTAAAACCATTACAATGTAGGTAAAGAATAATTATTATTGAGATAACTAAGTGGTATTGCAGATATAAGAATAAATTGTACCTCGGGACTACATACACTATTCAGATAAACATTTTTAGGTTCCCCTAGAATGTGTATTTAAAGATGAGTAGACATTCTTACTTTGATTCGGTCATACGGTACCGCTGAAAATGTTGATATTCACCGTTGTCTTTGAGCCCTTATTAATAAAAAGGAGTGTATTTTAAAGCGTAAATCAGACTGCTCAAAGTTATTCCTTTCTTACCATTGTCATTACTAGTCATATTATTTTAACGAACGAATGCAAACATCAAGTTTATATTCCGAAGGTTTAAACTTCGGTCATATTCTGAACCACTTAATACACACCACTCTGGTAAACTTTGAGGAGTTTAGCTTTTAATGAACACTCTTTATTACCAAGAACCTCCCAATCAACCGAAACCGAAATAATTACGATAGTAATACTTAGGTGAGTGACACAACATATCATCCAAGAAAGAAATATGATTTAGACTTTCATATATTTACATCAGTCGACTGAGTTCATCATATAAAAATGAAATTTCGGATGTTATATTCTAATAGAATATGCAAGCTATGTGTAATCGACTGCGGAATATCTGAAGTAAAAAATAAACTATGTCTCAGGACGTTCTGGAGGAGGTCCACATGGCTGAAGCATTTTCTCGAGTAGGTTGAACCGAACTCTTGCTTTACACTCATTTTCGCAGATAGCAAACAAGTTTAACAAGTCGAAATGACCCAAATAAGATGCACAACTATCTCTATGCTGATTTGTTAACCATTCCCATTTAGTTGTATCAGCATGGCCTGTACCTAAAAGAATACAACAGTACTAATGGTACTATGATGAGCCTTACCAACGTATTTTGACTGCAAATGTTCCAACTGGGTATGAATATTGTATCGGTCCCCCATTTCTAAGACTATATTATTACGCGTAAGATACCCTAAGTACAAGGCAACTGGAAGAAACGTAAGCACTCGAATTAAAAAATGTACAATGTCCAATTTCTTCACCGATCGATTTTTGTAATACTCATTTCTTATGGTTTCTGTACGGTTTCAGGTATTTATTAATGTCTGAAAGGTCAGTCAAGTCACTCGACTGCACAAAAACCTGTCAGTTTGTTATTTATTCATGAAGGATTATGTTTTATAATGAATGAGTTCGTCTCTGGGCCGTAGGGTTTCTCAATACCGGTAGCCATGAAAATACAAAGTTGGGGACCAGTTAGTTGTATTGTAGAGAATAATAAAGACTTATTATAACGCAATGGGGAAGGCCAGTGTTTCAGAAAGCAAATCACACATAAAAGATGAGGTCAACGGGTTGTATGATGAAGTCTGCAGAAATCCAACACCTGCCGCTTTCAAACAGTTCATCTAAGAGGAATGTGTTTTTTCATATCACCAAGTTTGCTAGGATGCAAAGAGCTAGCTCTCTGATGCTATTTCACTGGTAAACGCTGCCAAGAAGCATACTAACAAACGATATTGAAATGGCTCGTATGATGCCTACGCTGCAAGCACAAAGATGGATGTATAGATCTTCTAGCAGCCTCTCTAACTGAATAAGGTTTTTTAAGTCTGACTACGATTTGAGAGGGCTGTGTTTCCGAGAGTCTTTAAGATGTCAGTACGATTTTCTCTGCAATTCGTGTTTAATCTAATGTTACCTTTATCGGAGTGGGTTAATCTATAGCTACATTCTATGCTTTAAACAAAAGGCAGAGTTTCAGTTGATTGGTACTCATTCCAAGCGTTGCGCAGCAATTGACTTGCTCTCTTTTATTGAATACTACCTTAATGCCTAGCAAACTTCCCTCCAACATTAGAATATTAAATACAATTAGAAAATTTAATCCATCCAAACATAGCGTTTTGGGAGTTGCTTTTTTGCTTTTTTTTCTATCTTGTGCCCGCTTACTGCTACTTTTGTTGATAGACACCGGAGTATTTGTAAAAATTAGTGATTTAATTCGTTTATAAGCTGAAGTATTGGGTCTGTGATTGCCAGTTTAGTTAAGCCTGGATAGTACGAATCTGGTGAGTGTCAATTTAGTTGTCTGTGATAGGACATTTTGCTATCCGTTGTTTAGTTCCAGAATTTTTGACAGGACCCAACTAACATGAGACCGTGATGCTGCTTAAGTACTTCATTAACTAGTCCCATTTGTTAGTTAGCTGACAAGTGATTTGTCTAAGGCTTGTGAACTATTTTAGAACGTCCTCGCATATTCTGTTTTAGAAGACAAGAAAAATGGAGGCATGTCCGACGCTAATTCACCTTTAAGTAGTTTAAAAACGGTCATTAAGCTACCTCTGGTCCTTCTATATGATGAATGAACTTGGTTTAGTTAAGCCAGTCTCCTGCTTACTGTGACTTGCTGTTCGCCCTATCTGATGACAGATGTTCTGACTTAACTGTTCATATAAGTTGGGCGCAGTGGTTTAGTATGACTTAACATTCTCAGACATTCATTTGTCTACTTGGTTTGGAAGTCTCGTTCCTCACAGACCTCTTTATGGATAGTTTTTACGCCTTCAGACCACACTTTGCTCTCATGACACTGTGTCACTTTCAATAACTTATCGAGAGAGTTAGCTTTTGTTAATTTTACTAATATGCTATTCTGGTGTTTGGAATAGTTTTAGAAATTGCCATTTATATGGAAACGACAACTCACACCGACCGGTATTTGGTCTGTGAACTTTAAAAATACTGATGAGTTATAACGCTTTAGATAGTATAACGCTCTTGATGGTATTATGACTTAAATCATTTCATTTAGCATAAGAATAGTAATTCTGATGTTTATTGACGAACAGAACTACAAATTTACACGAGATAGTTAAAACATCGTTGTTCTTTAAAATATTGCATTTGAGGATAGGTCATGGATAGTTTAGACGTGAAATTTCTGTATTCCGTGACATCTTTGTAATTGGGCGTCACAAACTCAGTGCGACCGTAGTTTAGAGACGAAGGAGTTCAAAGACATAATTATAAGAATTTCGATGTATCGTTCTGTATATAGGTTAAGAAGGTTAATTGTTGTAAGTGTTGTGTAGCACGATGTACCCCTCATTTATCTTGTATGGATGCGTGAACGGGCTAGTCCGGCCAGGGTTTGTATTTTCATTTGCGTACTCATAAATGATAGTGCTGTTTATGTGGCATAAAACTTACGCATTTTAAGCAAGGACCATCTCAAGTAGAAATAGAAACTTCTATCTTCAATAAAATTGCACCTTAGGACCATGGAGACCCAAAATTTGTACGAACTAATATATGCCAGATTATATAAGAAAACGTCTTTGGAGACATGCTGCCAGACTTAATAACCCTAATGACTACTCCTCACTAGTTACCATGACAGAAATATTCATTGAGGTAGAAGTTATACGTACGAAAAGGGAACAGCTTAGGAAAAACATGCTGTCCAGCTGACTAATGAATTTTTCACGCTCACTAAAATATTACGAAATAAAACTAACTACGTTAAAGTGAAAGGAGGGAATAATAATGATAATAATTTATTCTCAAACAACGAACATGTTACAAGAGGCATGCCAATTTACAGGCATGATCAAAATGTTAAGATTGGCTGCATATTTCTTTTAAAACGGTGTACAGTCACTGAAATATTTCATCAAATACAATGGCTCAATTTAGATGGCTAAAAGTTTTCGCATAAAATTAAAGATAATTTTGCAGACTCTACAATGTACAACGCGAATAATTGGTGCGAGTTACGACGAGCTGCTGTGAAACAATGCAAGGTAGAGACAGGTCTACATATAACAAGAGTTGATCAGGTAAATGTGCCAAGAACTGGTTGATAAATTTACAGGCCCTTGTTTAAGGTAACCAAGTCTTCGGAAAATATCCCGACGACTACATAAGTATTGGAATAAGGTGCTGAAAAAAGAAATAAAGAGAACGGGTTGAGGAGCAGAGTAGAAAATATTCTTGTTTAAAGACGAACAATGATTCAGCACATACGTTTCTGGATAAAACAAAGGTAAGTTTACTCAGACGTTTTTTTCATTCGAACACTAACTGTACACCTGCATTTATGTAGGTTAATGAAGACAATTCAGTAGGAAAATAACGAATGAACATTTAAACGTATGAATAGAGGAAATCAGCATCACCAAATTGTTAGCAACAATGTTGATTTACAGTATAAAATAATGAGGCACACTGATCGTATGCTTTTGTTTTTTTATTTATCCGTTTTATTTTTAACTCTGTGTCTCAACCAGTTATGAATGAGCTATTTTTCTGTATGATTATCCAGATCTGCTTGTAATAGGATTTCTTGGTAGGAAGTTAAAACCAGTGAAAAGTTACAGACATGAGTCGTAGACGAGGTTAACAAGGAAAAGTAACATCAATATTACTTATTTTTTATATCCTGCTATATCGCAAGGAGCCGTAAGCAAACAAAATGTTCTGCCACAGAGACATGGGTAGATTGAGGTTATCGCCCCAACGTCATGAATGCTGGTCAGATACACCACCCTCCCTCCTTTTGTGATGTTAGGCTCTCTTACGTTTAATGGTTGATTGTAAATAATGTTTCCCTAGCCTACTCCCTATTTTTGTACACCTTATCGGAATTAACTTTCTCTACTAGCTCCACATTACAAGTAATCCAGCCAACTTTGCCTTCTGTGTGAAAGACAAAATATCCACGTAGCATGCCAGACTGAGTTTAAGTAAACTAATAATATAAATTGTAAGATATGTATCACTTAATAGGTAGTTTGGAGATAGGAAGGACAGTGTTCTGGAAAAAGAAGAAAGAGGAAAGGGAGTTGGAATAATGTCAAAAATTAATGCGAAAAGCAATATGTTGGTAAGCAGGCAAAGTGTTTCAATGTTAATGAATTGGGGAAATAAAAATTTGATAAACTCCTAATACTTGGACAAGAAAAAACTTACAATGATTAGGCAGCGTATTTATTAAGGGCAGTCAAGTTTTTGAAGACCCCAGATGTATCACAGAGCTGTTAAGCGAACATGTTTGTGTTTCGTTAACAAATGGAAACCCAATAAATGAATCACAGATGACCTTAACGTCTTCCTTTGAATTCGCCAATGTAGGCTTCAGTGTGCAAAATATTTCGAAGTTGATTAGTACACTGAACACGCTCACATTGAAGGACCAGATGGTATCCAGATATCTTGCTGAAAATGGGAGCAATGATCTGTGTGTTATACTGCTCAGAATATTACCCTAATAACTGGAAGACTACACATATAATCCCTATAATTAAACACGGGCCTACAATGAACGCTGAGGATATCCGACCCATAAACTTACCACAGAAGTATCTAGGGTGATGGGGAAAGTAGTAAAGTAAAAACCTCGTATCGACCTCAAAGCATGAATTCTACTAGATTATCTCGATGATATTACTGAAAAAAGAGGCAAAGGCATTCTAGTATCAGTCCTTTTCTTCGACCTAAAGGAAGCTTTTGATGAGATCACACACAAACGGCTTCTCCTCAAACTGAAGTCATTCGGAATCAGTAACCCAATATAAATGTTGTTTGTTTCATTCCTGAATGGACACCAACAAGTGGCAAAATACGATGATTGCCTTTCATCACTTAAACCAAGAACCAGTGGAGTTGTCCAGGGGAAAGTGTATTAGGTTCACTCCCGTTTCTGATGTTCATAAATGACACATTTAAAACTTTAAAATTTGGAAGACTATACCTTTATGCGGATGATCTCAAAGTAGTATACAGCCATGAGTCAGAAGATTTGGACGAAAATATAGCCACGATTCAGAGTGATCTTGATATTTTGACTACCTGGAGCGAACCATGACAGCTACCGTTTAACCACAACAATTGTGGCATCATGCATTTTAGTAATCATCACTACGATATAACTCTCTACTCATCAAAATGTAGTGTTCAGATACTCATATCAGAGCATGATTTGGGCATTCTATACTCCAGAAGCCTAA